CAGGTTTGTGCTTTTAGAGGATGAGCAGTATGCAAAGCCACTTTGTCTGGGTTGGTCACATTTTGCTGCTGTGTGTTCATGGCATTTATATACCTGTGCTTCCTGTGAGGGCAGTTTTCATGGTTTGGGCCCCAAACTGTTAGGGCTTGCACTGTGTAGTAATACCTGACCTCATCAACACCCCCACATAGCCATCCATGGCCTGGGGTATAGGGGCAGCCCATGCCAGAATTGAACCTCTAGAGCACGGTTGGGATAAATAAGATAATTTCATCATTTAAAGAATCCTGGGGAAAATCCTTTATTGTGCTAAGAATTGCTCCCTAGTTGATATTTGAATGATTTGAAGGGAGCACCACCCTTCCCCAATTCTCAGTTCTCTTATCTTCCCCCTGGACAGGAGTGAGTGGGAAGAAGCTGAGCTGCGGTGACAGGACTGGGTGAGGATGATGCAGCAGATACCAAGAAGGGACATACGTTCAGTGGTGCTACCACATGGGTGGTACTGAGCATATTTTTACTGTGGGTCAAGATCAGTCTCTACAGGTCCTGGAAACTAGTGGAGGAGTTCACTAGCAAAGTCCAGTTGGTCCCTAAAGTATGCTGAAATGCATGTGGCTTGTCTCTTGGTTTAGACAAGGACAGGGCATTTTTGGTGTCTGCAGACCTTTCTTCCAGGGGAAGGTGGGCTTATTGTTCGTTGTTTGTGCTCTGATGTCTCCTGTCACTCCATCCAGCCTCTTGGTATTCTTATGAGGCCTCTGCCCTGTCACGATGCTGCTGGCATCCAGGAACACTGGAAGGTGTGACCTGAGTGAGTGCACAGAACCCCACATTGCCAGCTGGGTTAAAGCAGGTGCCCTGGAGATGGCACTGGTCTGGCCCAGTAGGTCGTGCTCATCAGTGTGGGCAGTCTGTTGGGCTGCTCTGAGAGGGGCCTGCTATCTCTCATAGAAGGGTCCAGGCAGAACCCCAACTCACCCTGCCCCCCACAGGGTTTGAGGAGTAAGATCTAGAACCCATAGAAAGGACCAAATGCCCGCGTAGCAATTGCAGAGTTGAGCCCCAGAAACCCAAAACATGCATTTACCATAGCCGGGGGCAGTACATTTCTCAACACAGTTGATGTTTTAAGTCTGCCACAGTTGTTACTTCAAGGACTTTTCCAATTATCTCTAGTCCCATTGTTTTCTTCCTTTCTTTGCATTTGGTAGCATTTTACATACAGTGTGAAAGGCATTAGCACAGACTTTTCTTTACCTATGTCTCTCTTAGTTCTCATAAATAAATTGTGCTGTGGGGGTGGGCATGAGTTATCAGGCAGATTAGTAAGATTGTGAAGGGCCTGCTTATCCAGACTGGGACAATAACCATCTGTACTCTGTCTTACCGGAAGTGCCATTCCCCCAAAGCTCACTGAATTTCAGACCCTACCTGGATGTTGAAGGGCCTCTGACCCCACAGTTAACCTAGCTTAGGTTTATGTGTGACCTTGTGACTTAGGAGTGTCTCCTGAGCAGCTTACCGTAGCTGCTCTTCACACCCCCTCTGTAGGATAAGTAGATAAGCTTTTTAAAACAAGGAGGTCCAGACAGAAAAAAAAAAAAAAAAAGTGTCATCAAAACAAAGTGTTTGCTCCCTTGTATTGCCCTAGCTTCATCTTATTCCAGCACCATGACTAAAGACCCTAGCAGTAGTGATTGGGAATTGGGGCTAGATTCAGCCGGCTCATGGACCCAACTTATTGCCATGTTGTGAAAACACAACTTGCTAGTAAATGTCTTTGTGTGCAGTTTCTTAAAGAGCCACAAGGTGTGGATGTGGCTCCGTGAAAATCCCTCTTTCAGTAGGACATCATCACTCTTCTCTTTACCCCTCCACCAATCTTCTCCCTCTTTTACTTCATGTGCTTTTTCTCTTTTGTCACTTGGTCCCTGTTTGATTAGTAAAGAGCTTGGCTTCTGGAGTTACCCAGCTCTGGACTTGACCAGGGTGATGGTTTTCCCATCACTGATGTGAGGATGAGAGACTCTGCCTCTGGTAGGATGCTGGTCCTTGCAAGTGCTGGTGGGAGTGCAGACTGATACCACCCAGAGGCTACTGGCTGTGTATGTCAAAAGCACGTGCAGGTCCCCTTCACCTCAGCAATTGTGCTTCTGACTGGTTATGCTGTGGGTGTGCCAGCACACTTGCAAATGACATGCTGGTCATCACAACAGTAGCAAAAGATTAGGAATCACCCAAATATCCATTAGTAAGTGACTGATGAAATAAACTAGAGTACTTCCTTACTTCACTGGGCAGTGATGAGAAAGAAAGTGGATGCTTAGCCTGGTAGGTGGTGCACTTTATACTCCCAGCACTTGGGAGGATGAGGCAAAAGATTGCAAATTTGAGGTCAGCCTGGGCTGACTCTCATAAAGAAGCAAAAAAGAAAGAAGACATTCTCTGTGTTCGCTAAGGAATGATTTCCAAGATGTTTTGTTTTAAAAAAAGAAAAAGGGGGCTGTAGGCCTGGCTCAGAAGTAGAGTGCCTGCCTAGCAAGGTCATAGGCTCTGAGTTCAAACCCCAGTACTGCCCCCAAATAAATAAATAAAGGGTTTGAACAGTGTGTCCTGTTCTGTTTGCCACCTTTAAGTAAAAGGAGGGAAGGATAAAAACAGATACTTGTTTTCATGTCCCTCATGAGACAAGAGTCATCCACAAAAATTAGTAAGCCTACTTACCTATGTGTGTGGGGTATCTACTAGTAAATCTTTTGATTTATGTGAGAGCTTGGGTCCTGCGTCCCCTTCTTTGTGGCTCCTTTCTTCCTTCCTGGTAGGATGATGACCTGTTAACATTGATCCTGTCAGTGCCCCCATGACACTAATGATAACAGCTATTATGTACTGTACCAAGCACTGTCGTAAATGCTCTGCATACACCAGCTCATTTTAATAGAGAAAGGGAACAAGGACAAAGGGAGACTTGGTTCTGTAGTGTGTTTTATATTTGAGCCATATACTTATCAATAAAATTGTTTTTCTAAACAGGCACCGGTGGCTTCCACCTGTAAGCCTAACTTTTTGGGAGGCTGAGACCAAGAGGATTACAGTTTGAGGCCAGACTGGGCAAATAGTTCACAAGACCCCATCTCCAAAATAACCCGAGCAAAATGGACTGGAGGTGTGGCTCAAGTGGCAGAGTGCCTACTTTACATCTGTGAAGCCCTGAGTTCAAGCCCCAGTTTTACTGAGTAGTTCCTGCCCTCCTGTAGTTTTGAGGTAAAGTGGGGGTACAAGTAAAGTGAATGCTCTTCTCTAGAGCCATCTCAGAAGCAGCTAGTAGGGGAGGACTGACATGGGGTTGTCCCTGTATATGCAGGCCCCACCCAGGTGGAATTTCCTGGCATTGGTGCCAAACAGGAAGCAGGATGAGTCTGCAGCTGCTGCCTCCTTCCCCTTGGCAGATTCCCCCACTGCCATCAGCACCTCCTCTTCCATGCCTGGCCTCTGGTCTCTGAGGAAACAAGGCTATTTCTGTCCGAGTTTGAGGTTTAAGGTTGGGCAGAGTGCACTTAAGGTGGCTGCTGACATCCTGGGTGCTCATGGCTCCCTCACCTCCCCTTCTAAGTCCTCTTGCAGCTGGTCATCCTACTGTCAGCTTGTTGGCTCAGCCTCCACCTGCCAGTGTCCCTGCAGCAGCCCTAGCTGGCCTGCTTAAGCTGAGAGTGAGCTCCTCTGTTGCCCTGGAACTCTTCATTTGTAGACCAGCTCCAGTTTTTTTCCTGAGTGTTCACCCTGTGCTCCCTGCCTGCCTGCCTGCCCACTCAGTTCACTCTCTCCTATGGACTCACTCTGTGGAACTCACCTGGCTTTCCATGGCTTCCCTCAGCTACTAAGGGCAACATAAATGAAACTAGCCTGAGGAAGGGGACTGATCTTTTTGGTCACTGGCCATCTCTGAAATGAGAACCCCATCTGGTCCACAGCCTGAGTGTGGTTCCATGCTCTGGGTCCTGCCTCCTCCTCTAGGCAAAATTAAGCATAATGAGAAGCATCCTTTCTGGGCCCAGTGGAGGACCAGGCATGACCTGACTTGCAGTCTTCTAGAGTAGAGAAGGATCAGAGCCAGCCATCAGGCTATTGCCACAACAGAACCACTGCAGGTGTGCTTCACAGGGATGGCCCAGATGGACCCTCTTACACAGTGGAGTTGGGCCCACGGTAAGAGGTTACTTAGGTAGGATCCAAGCCTTGACTCTGAATTGGAACTGACCTGTGAAGTGGGCATTGAGGCTGCAGACTTGCCAACTTCCTATTTCACCTCTTCTAATTTTTGTCTTCACAATAATCACATGAAATGTGTTTTCTCTCTTTAACATGATTTTGATCAGCAAGAGGGCCCCTCCAGCCTTTGCATTGGGCAGTGTCAGGAGCTGCATCTGCAAATGGGCAAACACATCAGTGACAAGAAGAGCCTGAGGAAACAGTGATCTTAGTTCCTGCAGAACTAACTGAACAGCACCCAGTAACTAGGTGATGAGGATCATCAGTGTGTATCAGTTAGCCACAGATCTTCACCTGTGAGAAGGCGCCCACAGTCTGCAATCACTGTCTTATATATATACTGCCTCGAAGCCAGCCTCCCAGAGAGATAGCCCTTTAGATCAGCTAGCTTATAAAAATAGTTGTCTACCACTCCCTTGCTTCTAGACCAGTTGCTTCTGTTGTGCGGCAGGCTGGCCAAGCCTTTTGGGTGGTAACACTTCTACTGACCCTACTGTGGGACCACGCAGCCAGTAGAAAAGCAGAGGACAAAATAAATAATTCCCGTCCTCCTTAGAAGGGCCTGGGGCTGAGGAGAAGCTAGACCTGAAAACTTCTTCAAGGAAGTAGACACACACACACACACACACCTCGGCCCCAAATTATTTGTCTTCATCATTAAAAAAACAAGGTTTCCTAGGCATACATGTAGAAAATCTGTTTTTCCCTCCCCTTTGCCTATTCTACAGGGAGCTGAAGACTTCAGGGAAGCTCTGACTTAAGGACAACTCGATGGCCCTAGGTGAGGAAGAGGCAGAGGTGGAAGCATCTGTGAGCACAAAGGCCCAATCCTGCAGGAGGCAGAGCTGCCAGGATCGAGAGCTGCCTCCCCAGGGCCCTGAGCCAGAGCAGCCCCCATGTCTGGAAGCTAAAAGAAGCACTGTCTCTTCTGAATGGGAGGCAGAGGGGCTACCCGCCCCTGCCTGCTGGCCTGAGGCTGACCCTGGAAGTGCCTCTGGAGCTTACCTGGCATGTGCCATTACTGCCAGAGAGCCAATAGTGGATGGGTATAAGACTGCCTTCTGTGGCCCGCTTCCACCTGCCAGCATGGGGACTAGAGATCTTTTGCCCTCTGCAGAAAGCCAGGTAGGTATTAAGGCAGATGACACTGGGTTGGCCCAGTGCTATCCTTGCATTGTGTATGCCAGCATTTCTTTGCCATCTTCCCAGTCACTGTGCAGGGTGGAGAGTTGGGGGAGCCTGGGTATGAGGTTCTTGTTTTCAGGTTTGCCTGGAGAGCTGGCCTTGGGGCCAGCGGGTGGCTCTTTGCTCTGTTGCTCAAGAGTGTCACTGGAGACCATTTGAGAATTAGAGATAGTATGGTCAGGAGCCTGGCACCCAGAGGGCTAGGTCAGAAGGCTCTGACAAAGGAAGCCTCATCCTGTTTCTGACTTGGTGATCTGAAGGCTTCAGGCAGACCCTCAGGAGACTTGGGAAAGGAGGGCTCTAGGCTCCTGAGAGCTCTGAATCAGAATCCTCTTGGGACCAAGGGATCTGTCAGAACACTGACCCTGGCTGAGGAGAATTTCTTGGGCCTACCCTCTTCCCCCAAGTGGGAATCATGGGACAGTGAATCTTCCCATCACCAACTCTTTTAAACCCTCATCATAATTGGAGGTGACCTAAATGATCTGTCCCTTCTTGCTCTTACATCCTATTATGTTTTGTGTGCCAAGGCCTTTCCTGGGAACGATTTTGATCTTCTCAATGTCACCGTGGCCTTAGCTGTGCTTGCTTCCTCCATAGAGCTCCATACTGTGAGGAGACTGTGAGTGGGACTGCAAGAGAAGGACAACTAGGCCCCATGTGGATAGGTGGGTGGGGGTCTGGCACCTGTGAGTCAGATTGGATTGGGCAGAAAGCAAATCAGCAAGCCCGGAAATGGACTGTCTCACAGAAGTGAGCTTACCGTCCTGCCTGTTGGTGTTGGGCTTTTACTATGCTTTGCTGTGAATCCTGTCCTGAGGAGGCAGTGCTGTTGGTTTCCACTCTACAGAGCAGGGAAGCAAGGTCCGCAAGTCCTACCTCTGGAAGGTGGCAGAGTTAGGAGAGGATATCAGGTCTGGTCTGGTAAAGCCGATCCCTAATCACTCTGCTGCCCTTCTCCCTTTGGGGGTGAGCTCTTCACTGAGCAGCATTAAAAATTCAGAACCTAAGGACTGGCAGAGTGGCTCAAGTTACAGGGCGCTGTCTAGTGAGTGTGAGACCCTGAGTTCAAACCCCAGTACCACCAAAGAAAAAAAATTCAAGGTGACTCATGGGAGCTGAACAGGGTGTGGCCTGGTGAGGCCTGCTGGATCTCCTGTCAGTGACAGTGATTGAGGGTTTTGCCTGCCTGGCACGTGCTTCTCAGAGGAGAGGCAATGATTCCCAGCTTCAGCATAACAGAGCTGTCTATGTTCCTTCAAACTGGGTATCTGTGGAGGAAGAACTTTCGAAAGGCCTAGAGGTGGGGATCAGGTGGAGACTTCCAGGGGCAGGATGAGTCTGGAGCCAGCCACTAGCAGTACCACTCTGATCCTTACCTCAGACAAGCTTTTTATTTGGAGATCTTCCCTGAATACCATTGGGGCCCACAAGGAAAACTTCTGGGTTGTCATTTAAGAAGAAATTTGGTTTGGTTATTTTCAGTTGAGTACCTTTTTCCCACTTATTATTGCAGATGGAGGAGACCAAGCTTTCTGTCTCCGAGGAGCTATCTCAGAGTGTTAGTGTCCCCAGAACTACGGCTCTTTGCTCAGGACATGATGCTGATACCGAAGATAACCCATCCTCAGGTGATTCGCCTCTGGGGCTGGGCCTCAGCCAGCAGCCTCACCTCTCAAGTTTCCCTTTCTTATCACGGTGGAAGCCCATGGTGAGCCCAGGTGCTCCTCCACTCTCCAGCAAAAGCATCTCTGTCTCTTCCATGGCCAGTAGTCTCCAGGGTCACCAAGAGAAGGTGGAACCTCAAAATAACTCCTTTGCCAAGGTTTCCTCTCTGGAACTGGTTATACCCCAGGGGCTCCCCTCTGTTATGGGGCCAGGGCCTCGACTCCAAGGGTCATCACGGCCTTTGGTCTCGGGGGGTGATGCTACTGGTCAGGGCAGGAGGCATCTTTCCTTCCAGGCTGAGTACTGGGCTTGTGTACTGCCAGATTCTCTGCCTCCTTCCCCTGACCGCCACTCCCCACTGTGGAACCCAAATAAAGAGTACGAAGACCTGCTAGACTATACTTATCCACTGAGGCCTGGGCCCCACATCCCAAAGCAACTTGACAGCCACATGCTAGCTGACCCTGTCCTGCAAGACTCAGGTATAGACCTGGATAGTTTCTCTGTCTCCCCAGCAAGCACCCTCAAGTCACCCACTAATGTCTCCCCTAATTGCTCACCAGCAGAGGTGCCTGCTCTGCCATTTTCTGAATCCAGAGAGCCAAGCCTTAAGCCATGGCCCTCTAGAGTACCCCAGAAGCAAGATAGCATGAGCCTGGCATCTTGGAGCCAGCTCACATCCACCCCTAGACCCCCAGGCAATAGGGATGCTCCTTGGAAGAGCAGAGAGGCAGCCCTGAGGAACACAAGGGACTGGCTTCCCGTGGGCAAACACCTGGATGTAGACTCTTCCCAGCTGAAGACAACAAGGGACGGAGGACGGCCCTCACCCAGGCCAGAGAGAGAGAAGAGGGTGAGCCAGAGTGTCCAGCATCCTTCCTGTATGGAGTCTAAATGGAAATCAGAAGAGGAGGTAGAAAGTGATGACGAGTATCTTGCCTTACCCACTCGGCTGACGCAGGTTTCTAGTCTGGTTTCCTACCTAGGTGCCATTCCCACCTTGGTGACCCTGCCCACTAGGGCTACCAAGGGGCAAAGATCCTTGGAAGTGTGGGACAACAATGGAACAGCTTCCCCCGCTTCAGACTCCAGTCAAAGCCAGCTTCTTTCTGGGGCTGCCTTCCAAGGGTCTGCCTGCCCTGAGGGCCAGAGTCCCTGCTTCCTGAACTCCTTTGTTCGTGCCCAAAACTCTACAGAGGAAGGCAGTCAAGTGAGCAGCCAGGCCCTTGGGGTCTCTTCTGGACTGCTGAAGACACGCCCCTCCTTGTCAGCTGTGTCCGACAGGTGGCCATTCTCAGACCTGGATGCTGGAGGGTATTTTCCCAGGAAGGCTGGCGAGCAGGGGAAAGCCTCACTGGTGCAGTGTGTGCAGGTAAAGACGCTTAGCATGGGGAGAGGCTTTACCTGATTCTTCCTCCTCCTGCCTCTCACAGGGTGCTAGACTTGCTGACCAAGCACTTTTCATGTGCCAGGCACTGTGCTATTCCTTACATTGCTTGGTCCTCACTACTCTGACCAGATAGGCACTGTTCTCTTTCACTGTTGGGAGAAAAAGGCAGGGATTAGACCCACTTCAACTAGCAAGGCCAGAGCCCGGAGTCAAACCCAGGGAGATTCTGCAGAACCTGAGCTCTTAACCATCTTTGAGATATTCTAGTAAAAGGGTGTCTGGTGCAGATAGCTTCAGGAAACATTGGGCTATGTAAAAGTGCTCTCTCTACTACACATGGCTTCAGAGCTCCATTGCCACAGTGGGGTAACTGCAAAGTTAGGGGTATTAGATGTCCTGGGTCCTAGACTTCTTAGCCACTGAACTTTCTTTTGTGGGTCTAATAGTACCTGGAGGTGTAATTCTGTGTAGAAGGGGGTTGTCATAGTTGGGCAGATCTGGATTTGAATCATGCCTCTGGACTTTTGGTTCAGTCTCCCAAGTTAGCTTGTAAAGATGGAGCTCTGCCTTTTAGGGATGTTGTGTAGAGTAAGTAAAATAATTGACATCAGGACTTTGCACCCTGACAAGGATGAGGGTTCAAATATGTGCCTGCCCCCTCTCTGGATGTCCCATTGCCCTGCCTCTCACTGAGCTGGAAGAGTGAGTGCTGTTAAGTCCTCACTGCACTAACATTTTTCCCTATCAAGGCGTCCTAGCACATAAGGAGGGCTTTAGCCTGTCTGGAAGTCACATGGGTGGTTTTATTTGTCCTGTGCAACAGGTGGGACCAATGTTCTTTTGTGATAAAAGATTAAGATACCATGAAGGAAAGTTTCAAGTTAGTCATGATTTAGCCATTTAGTTTGTGTTCACTTTTTCCTGCAAAAGTTTGGTGGCTGGTAATGGTGCTGATTCAGTTGGTTTCCATGTGAGGGCTGCCTCTTCTGGACTGTTTCTGTCTCTGTTCCTTTGCAGGTAAGGTCCACTCTTAACCTGCAAGACTGAGTTTTCTCAGCTTGTTGTTTGGGGTGTTACATCTGGCTGAGGGGAAGTCTGGAGTTATGAGGTGTGAAGGTTGGGGGACAGACTAATGTCTTTGAGGGAAAGGAAAATCCTGTTATTTTAGCCTTTTGATAACATAAACAATAGTTGGGTTGTAACACCATGTATTTGTCTCTGCAGACGTTTTGCTGTCAGCTAGAAGAGCTGATCCACTGGCTATATAATGTCACAGATGTTACTGACCTTGGGACTGCACCCAGGTCCAGTCTTACCGGTCTGAAGTCTTCTCTGCAGCTCTATCGGGTAATATGTGGTCCTGGCTTCTGGCTTGTTCACTCAAGAATGGTGGCTAAATTACTTAATTACAAAATAAAATCTGAAATAACTGATGCCTGGTATGTTGTAGCTCAATTAATTGTTTTCCTGAAGTCTTACCAGAGGCTCTTCCCTGAGTGCTGAAAACTACAAAATGCGAGAATTAACTCCTAGGCCAAATAGGGTTTAAAGAATACGCATTATATTTATCTTAAATCAAAAATACTTTACCTATTATAAGTTTCCAAACATCCACAGATTATAATTATTGACCTGTGCTATCACACTAGTCACATACATCCATTTAAATACGAATTCAGATCTTTCAGTTGCTCAGTTGCCACATCTGTCTAATGGCTGCCACACTGAGCAGTGCAAATACATTGTTCAGTGCTGACGTTTGAAGATCTGAACTGGGCTCAGAAATCCTAACTGGCTCCAGAATGTACACTGGACATATTGATGGAGCAAATTTAAACCAAAATCTGACATCAATTTGCTTTCTGTTTTGGGGCCTGGATTTTGTTTTGTTTCACCTTCTTTTCCTTAAGGTTTTATTAAGATACCTCTTTGTGAGTTTTAGTTAACTTAATCCTAGATTAGTTGATCAGAGGCTAAATTGTATAGTTGTCATCCATGAGGATACAGTTACAGTTAACCTGCTTCTGGAAGGTCTGGTAGGACAAGCCTTTGTAACCTCTTAATGAGGATCAGAGGCAGTTTTAGGGATTTCTACCTTACAACATGACTTTCTTCAGAAAAGGGTATGGTTTACAAGTGCTTAAGCCAGGGCTGCACCTCCCTACCCCAAATCCCAGCTGATTCAGAGCCTCTCTGGGATCATACCCTGGCCTGTTTGCAATCTTAGAGCCAACTACAATCTTGCCTGGGCTTGGGACAGCTGCTCCACCCTAGTCAGAATATTGTTTGCCGTATTTGGAGAGAGGTGTTGAGTTTCTCATCTAGAATGAGTTTGTGGAGGGAGAGGAAGGCAGAGTGTGAGAATCCTCTGTGCAGACCCTAGTGTGTGTACAGGCACACACATAAACATATTGTCTGTGCAGCATCCTCCTGAGGAGCCTAAGGGCCAGCACCACTGTAGGGAAAGAAATTGACTGAGGTAAGTTACCTCAGTCACTTTTTGGCCTTTGACAGATACAAATAGACTTGACTCTAGTTATTCCATTTTATCCCTCATACCTGTGACTCAATTCCAGATCAGCCAGAAGCAACCATCTTGCTTTGTGGGTAGAGCTGACCCAAGGGTTACTTCTCCACAAAGAATCATGCATAGCTTATTCATATGTATGAGCTACTTTGTCTCTGCTTAGATCAAGACCTAGTATAGTCAAGTGTGTGCTAATAGATACTAACATTTTAATTGCCACTTGTTTTTCATATGCTTGTATTTAGTATCTTAATAGTGGGGTTGAGGCAGCATCTAAACTACAGAGTATAGGAGTATCATAAGTCTAGGTATCAGGATAAGGGAAGACTGCAGACAGGAAAACAAGAACTGAGTTCTGCATCATAGGTTAAAGGTGGTCATGGGTTTGGCTTTCACTTCTTAGTAGCAAAAGGAAGAACAAATGGTACAAGGGCTGAGGGTGTGGCTCAAGTGATAGAGCACCTGTCTAGCAAGCTTGAGCCATCCCCCCACCCTTTTCTTTTTTTCTCCACTACAGAAAAAAAAAAAAAAGAAAAAGTGGCTGGTGGCTGTGAGGGAAAAACAGTTTGATGAACTGCTTGGGAAACCACTGTCTCTGATGCACCCTGGAAGTGTGCAGAAAGAGAGAATGCTGAGGTAGAGATTGGGAGGTTGCAGCTCCCTGTGGTCACTATAAGAGCAGATCGCTTGTGGTTCTCATCTGTTAGGTTCATTTGAAAAGGATGTATTTTGGCAATTCTAAAGAAAACCCCAAGAAGGAATCCCCAACTCCAAGCTATTTATGAGTCAGCCTTTCCTGTGGTTAAAAAAAAAAAAAAAAAAACTGTTGTCAAACTAAACAGAATTAAAAAGCAAAAAAGCCACTGGTTCTTTTTCCCCTGGGCTTAACACAACTAAAATTAAAGCAGTGCGCTGTTTTGCTTGAGGAATTCTGCAGACTGGGTAGTGTATCCTTATTCCACATGGGGGAATGAGGTATTAGGTGCAGTGTTCATTTTGAACAACTTTACAAAACAATAGTAACGAAGGTTTTTTCTTTCCTTGATACATCTTAAGCAATTTAAGAAAGATATAGATGAACATCAGTCCCTGACGGAGAGCGTCTTAGAGAAGGGGGAGATTCTTCTTCAGTGCCTGTTGGATAACACCCCAGGTGAGATGCCTAAAAGCTTTTTGTCTTTTTTTTTTATATTTATGGGGTACAATGTGTTGGTTTTTTTTTTATTCGTATATGCATACGATGTTTGGGTCATTTCCACCCCCTTCCCCCCTTCCCTTCCCCCCCTTCCCTTCCCCCTCCCTTCTCCTTCGCTACCCAGCAGAAACTATTCTGCCCTTATCTCTAATTTTGTTGAAGAGAGAGTATAAGCAATAATAGGAAGGAACAAGGGTTTTTTCTGGTTGAGATAAGGATAGCTATACAGGGAGTTAACTCGCATTGATTTCCTGTGCATGTGTGTTACCTTCTAGGTTAATTCTTCTTGATCTAACCTTTTCTCTAGTTCCTGGTCCCCTTTTCCTATTGGCCTCTGTCGCTTTAAAGTATCTGCTTTAGTTTCTCTGTGTTAAGGGCAACAAATGCTAGCTAATTTTTTAGGTGTCTTACCTATCCTCATATCTCCCTTGCGTGCTCTCCCCTTTAACATGTCCCCTTGTTGTGTTTGCCCTTGATCTAATGTCCACATATGAGGGAGAACATACAATTTTTGGTCTTTTGGGCCAGGCTAACCTCACTCAGAATGATGTTCTCCAATTCCATCCATTTACCAGCGAATGATAACATTTCGTTCTTCTTCATGGCTGAGTAAAATTCCATTGTGTATAAATACCACATTTTCTTAATCCATTTGTCAGTGGTGGGGCATCTTGGCTGTTTCCATAACTTGGCTATTGTGAATAGTGCCGAAATAAACATGGGTGTGCAGGTGTACAGTGTGGTATCTTAATGCATGTGTGTAGTGTGTGTGGTGATCAGGTCAAGGTACAAACACAAACATCATTGTCATTTCTTTGTGTAGGGAGCATTCACAATCATTTCTACTTGCTATTTTGAAATACACAAATAATTGTTGCCAACCATAGTTCACCTTCTAGGCTATAGAACATTAGAAGTGGCACTAGAGATACAGCTCAGTGGCTACACAAGGCCCTAGGTTTGAGCCGTGGCACCAACAATAACAAAAAAAGGTTTTCCCACCTATCCAGCTGCACTCCTGTACCCATTAACCAGCCTCTCCATTACTGCCCCACCCTTCTACAAGATCAACTTTTTAGCCTTCCAGAAGTGATAATATGTTGTGTGTGTCTTTCTGTGCCTGATTTATTTCATTTACTATAATGGCTTTCAGCTGGTGGAATGGCCCAACTGGTAGAGCTCCTGCCTAGCAAGTCAGTTCAAACATCAGTACAAAAAAAAAAAAAAAATGTGTCTTTCAGGTCTGTTCATGTTGTTGCAAATGCAGAATTTGATTCTTTTATGACTAAATAATATCCCATTGTGTATATATGCCGCATTTCTTTACCCACTGGTCAGTGGACACCTAGGTTTATTCCGTATCTTGGCTATTGTGAGTAGTACTGCAAGAAACATGGCAGTGCAGACATCTCTGACATACTGATATACCCAGTAGTGGGGTTGCTGGATCATACGGCAGTTTTATTTCTACTTTTGAGGAACCTCCATACTGTTTTCCATAATGGCTATACTAGTTTACATTCCTACCAGCAATGTATAAAGTTCCCCTTTCTCTAAATCTTCATCATCCCTTTTGTTTTTGTCTTTCACACTAGCCATCCTAACTAGAATGAGATTGTATCTCTATGGTTTTGACATGCATTTTTTTTTTCCCATGGCTGTTTGTATATCTTCTTTTGAAAAATACCTATTGAAGTCATTTACCCTTTTTTTTTTTTGGTGGTACTGGGGCTTGAACTTAGTGTCTACACCTTGAGGCACTCCACTAGCCTTGTTTTGTGATGAGATTTTTCAAGGTAGGGTCTTGTGAAGTATTTGCCTAGGCTGGCTTGGAACCATGATCCTTCTGATCTCTCTCTGCCTCCTGAGTAGCTAGGATTATAGGCATGAGCCACCAGCGCCCAGCCCATTTTGTAATAGATTTTTTTTGTTTTGTTTTTTGCCGTTATTTGAATTCCTTATATATTCTGGGATTTAATCCTGTCAGATGAAGATTGCAAATACTCCCCCCATTTTGTAGGTTGTCTCTTTTCTCTGTTGTTTCATTTTCTGTGCAGAAGTTTTTAATTCAATGTAATCCTATTTGTCAGTTTTTGCTTTTGTTGCCTATGCATTTGGGGTCATATCCAAAACATCTTTACCCAGACCAATGGCCCCCTATGTTTTTCTCTAGTAGTTTCAGTTTCTGGTTGTATACATATATTTTATAGTTTTAATCTTCTGCACATGGATGTCCAATTTTCCTAGAGCCATTTATAAGAGATTTTCCTTGCTCTAGCGTGTGGTTCTTACTGCCTTTGTCAGAAATCAGGTGGCTATAGACTGTGGATTTCTGGGTTCTCTATTCTGTTCCATGATTATGTGCTTGGGGATTTGTTTTTCACCCCAGTGCTGGGGTTGAGTCAGGGCCTGTGCATGCCAGGCAGGAGCTTTACGTCGTCGTCGTCGGTCCCCCCCTGCACTCCCTGCTGCCCCGTGCTTTATACCTCCAGGGACCCTTACTCTACCGGTAAAGGAGCCAGTATTGCCAGAACCCCCCACACCCACTCGTGCCCACTGGCTGGCGTCCCGTGATTACCATCTGCCAGCTCTGCACATTATCACTGACCCTGCAAACCCACAGTGGTACAGCTGCAGGCCTAAAAGTTTAAGCCCAGCAGTTTAGGCACCAGGCCTGTGACAACACTACACTTCTGCTTCTGCATTTCCTTAGTGTTTTTTCTGATGGAATGCTGGTTTTAATCCAGCAGCCCTTACTTGTGGCTGGGATACTCAGTGGGTAGCCCTCAGGGTTCCTCCTTTACTCAGTTCAGATTGAACTGTCTTGCATATCTGCTTTGTGTTTTTCTGTGTTCCAGAAAACCACCGTGTTGATTGAAAAGGACTTAAAAACGATCTGTTTTCAAGTAGACTGATGAAAGGGTGCAAGGTGGCAGTGGCACACAAACCAAGCTCAAGCCCATTTGCAGGATAGGTTCTCAATTTAAGAAAGTGTGAAAATGTTCATCGTGATCCTTACAGGGGAAGATACGCTATGGAGGATGAGTGAGAATGTTAGGTTAAAGCCTTGAATGATGGACCCCAAAAAGCAGCTCCAAATTTCCTGTAAGGCTCTATAAGCAAGTACTTAAAGAGCTCAGCTATGTTGTACCCTATTTGTGGAGTGAGGTGGGATTTACAGTGGAATCAAACAGCATAAGCATTGCTGGCCAGGACCCCAGGGCTTGAGAGGCAGTGAGAAGGCACTTAACAAGAGTAGTGGTCAGGCACGTCCGGGGAGGAGTCAGAGTTTCTCTGCCTGACACATGCTCATTGCTGTTTGAGGAAGTTTCCTGTGCATACCTATCCCCACTAGATGCCAGTAAGAAGCTCCCACACCCCTGCAGTTGTGTGCAAACACTGGCACACATTACTACTTGTGCCCTGAGAAGAGCTGTGACCATGCAGAAGGGTTGAGGGAAAGCCACCCCTGAAGAAGGGTTTTCAGCAGGGAAGTGACTGTCCAGTGTGAATTATAGGAGCCCTTTGCTCTCTGAAGGCTCTTTCTTTGGCTCTTTCTGTGTTCCTCGTACTCTGAATTTTTATGTTCGTGTTGGGGCAGAAAGTCAGTATGCCAGGCTTCTTTGCTGCTTATAATCACACCAGCATTTTACTCAACACTTAGCATGGGCTGAAGAAGTAGGCGTTATCAGTGTGTTTCATTTAATTGCAGTTCTGTGAGATAATGTTCTTACCCTTATTTTACAGCTGTGAATTTGCCTCAGGCAGCCAGTGTGCTGGCTCTCTCCTGCTATCAGTGTTCAGAGGTGCCAAGGCCTGAGCAGGAAGAAAGAGGGCTCAAATGCACCAACCCGTGTTCACAGAGATCACATGTAATAGGAGGCCTCGTCAAAGTTACCATTTTGACTTTCACTTAATCAGTCCAGGAATACTTTTTAGTGTCTTACTTGTAATAAGAACATCCCACTTGTGTTGCTCTCAAAAGGGATTGAGTAGTATTTTACTGGCCAGAAAAGGCTTTTGGCTTTCTGTGGTTCTCAGATAAAAATCCAGGCTCTTTCACATTGGTACAATGCCCCTCCTTGTCCTCTGCCTGGAATAATTGGAATACTTGGCTGCTGTGTGCAAAATTACAAGTTCCTCTTGATCCTTCACCCTTCTTTCTCCAGGAGCACCCTGTTGGCGTGGAGCTAGTACACACACTCTACAAGCTTCTTCAGAGCCTGCTTTCTTATTTGTCTACAAGAATAACGTTAGAGCTGGGTGCTGGTGGCTCACATCTGTAATCCTAGCTCAGGAAGCAGAGTTCAGGAGGATTGCATTCAAAGCCAGCCTGGGCAAATAGTTTGTGAAATCCTATCTCGAAAAAACCCAAAAAAGGGCTGGTGGAGTGGCTCAAGATGTAAGCCCTGAGTTCAAACCCTAGTGCCACAAAACAAAAACAAACAAACAAACAAAAAAGATACCTGCTCCAAGAAATCTGTATCAGCCTCCTGCCAAAGGCCTCCATTATTTCTTCACTACATTTTGACCCACTTACTAGTGCAGGTCCACAGTTCTGTCTTGACTCCAGCTCAGTATTACATGAATCAAGTGACTGGAGCCGGTTGACATTAGGTCAAAACAAGGGGTGTGTTTGTACAGTTAAAACACAAAAGTCACACTGGGAAAAGAGATCTATCATTCCCCTTCCTAGCCTCTCTTTTCCTTGGCCCTTACAGCTTAAAAGAAAAGTTCAAACGAAAAGGTCCCCTGAATTCCATTGGCAACACGCCAGAGCCCACATCAGTCACCCCAGCAGCCAAGCTTCACTATGCACTTGGGCTACACTCTTCTGCCAGGCCACCTCAAGAGGTGTCGGGGCAGCACTTTGTCCTGATGGCATCCGTGGTGATGCCGCTTCCTGATGACTGATCTCAACACAGCCATCCTGTGTTCCTTCTTTTCCGCCATCCAGTCAGCATTGTCTGCAGATTCGCAGCTTCCCCTATCCCTTCCTCTGCTGACAAAGTTACAGCCACAGCAGGAAACTGGGGAGCATGTTAGCACAGGCTGATAAAGGCACAGGAAGCTAAGGTGGCCTTTGTGCTTAACAAAAGAAACTTTTTTTTTTTTTTTTTTTTTGTGGGACTGGGGTTTGAACTCAGGGCTTCACACTTGTAAAACAGGCATTCTACCACTTGAGCCACTCCTCCAGTCCAAGAAAAAAACTTTTAAAAACAAGCCTACTACCTGAGATCCCAGCCCATCCCTACTGCTCATGAACACTGATCTAATCGTCATTCCTTAGGCTCTCTCACATCTTTTTCTTTCTTTTCTCTCAGCACTGGGGTTTGAACTGGCCTCATGCTACTAGGCAGGTAGGTGCTCTTACCACTTGGGCCACTCCACCAGCCCTTCTTTGTGTTGGGTATTTTTTGTGTGTGTGTGTGTAGAGTATTTTCAAGATAGGATCTCATGAATTATTTGCCCAGGCCAGCCTCAAACCATGATCCTCCTGATCTCTGTCTCCTGAGTAGCTAGGATTACAGGTGTAAGCCATGGGCACCCGGCCATCATTTTCTAAGTTTAGCCACATAGGACCCACAAAAGGTTCACTGGCATCTCCCAGTACATTACCAAAATACTCTGATGAAATGTCAGTTTCCCCAGCCAACAAAAGTTCATAGGAGCTGGTAGCAGGGCCCAGCATCCTAAACCTGGTATATTGTTTTATTTCATTTAAGCCTTATCTCTGACAGGATGTGTGTGCTCTACCTTATCTCTAAAGTCAAGATTAATACCAGTCTCCAGAAGACCATGTATGTGTACACTACAGAAGTTCAAACAAGCCAGATGTGGTGGCACATGTCTATAATCCCAGCTACTTGGGAGGCAAAGATTGGGAGGATTATAGTTCAAGGCTAGATTGGGCAAAGGTAGACCCACCCTATCCCCTGCCCCGTCTCAATAAATAAGCTGGATATGGTGGTGCATTCCAGGAATCCCAACTGTTGAGGAGACATGGATGGGAAAAGCACAAGACCCTATCTGGAAAAAAAAAAAGCAAGCAAAGCAAAAAGGACTACGGGCATGGTTTAAGTGGTAGGGCATCTGGTTGAGGCCCTGAGTTCACATCTCAGTACCAGCAAAACTTCACAAAATAGATTCTCCAGTGCAACTGGAGCCCCTGGAACAACACTGTTAAATGTTAATATAAACATTGTGAAACTATTACCAATGTCCTGTTTTGAGTAGAATGCTAAGCCTTTTTATAACCTCATTGTTAGTTTTAAAGGATGTTCTTGGGAGGATTGAAAAGCAGTCTGGGGAGCTGGAGAGCCATGCAGATCGCCTTTATGACTCTGTCTTAGCCTCTCTGGACATGCTGGCTGGCTGCACCCTCTTCCCTGACAAGCCAGTGACTGCAAAAGAACGCCCATGTGAGGGGGTTTAATGTGGTAAGTAGAGGAACCCAAAGCAAGTCTGCCCTCCTGCCCCGCGCTGACGAGGGCAAAGTACCTGCTGCAACAGGCAGTTACTGTAGAAGCATGGTGGACTAAGCATGTTGAGACAAAAGATGTGCTGGAGAAAGGCTGCCCATGGTACTGAAAAGTGAGTCCCCACCATTGACAGAAGAGGGTTTCCCGTGGTGATGAACACTCACCTTGGCGCCTTCCATTATTTGTTTTCAACCCTGCTGCCTGCTGAGGACAAGAGCACCCCATGCTTTCATTATCTGTGCTGCATTGTTTTCACAACTACCACCACCCAGGCAACAGCAGCAACACTTTCTCTACTTTGTGTCTGACTTCTCCAGTGTGGGACTGCGATCAGAGTGCCCCTGTCCTTCAGGCTCTTGTCGCCCAGCTTATTTGTTTGATGCTTCCAAGTGTCTGACAGCACAAATGCCCACAGAAACCCCAAGTTACTGCCCACACCTCCTTCCCCAAAGGGCTGGAGAAGACCACAGCTTTCTTCTTATCCCACAGAAAGTCAACCAGGAAATGGTAGAAAAAGGGAGGAAAGGGGTGAGGTTCCACCACCCAACACTTCCTAATTCCACAACTCTACTGCACTTTCCTACAACAAAATGTTTGTAGTACTCAGATTTTTTTTTAGGTGAGAATTCACTGTATCTATGTCAAAAGCAGGGATTCCCTGTATTTGCATAAAGCAATTAAAGTAGTCATCTTAATTCTAAAGTGGATGCAGGTGATTGTTGTTTTCATTTCTTCCTCTGAAGCATTGCCTATAACAAATGTTTTTCTTTCAGGTGTCTTCTCAGGCAGGGAGGACTCTTGGAAAGAATTTTCAACAAGTCCTTGCAAGAGCCATTTAACAGTTAAGTCAAGGGGGAAGCTATAATGTGCTAGCTTTAAAATCCCTTTCTCTTTGAAATAATCTCTTTGAAATAAGGGCTGTTGACTTTATTTATAATGAATCCTTCCAAATTAAGGCTTTCCTTTTGGTGCTTCTCTACAAAAAGCATGTGGCTTTGCTCCTTTTGATAAAGTAGTTAAAACTTACAGGCGGGTCTTGCCTTCCCCTCTCTGGTTTTTGAAGGAAAAAAAAAAAAAAAAAACAAGACAAAGTTAAACTGTTACATCTGTTGAAATCATTAAATGAAGGCTGCTTTGAGAAAGGAGATTCCAAATACTTGATATTCTCAGGCATAGAAGGAGATCCAAGAGAGTGAAAAAAAAAAAAAAAAAGACTGGCCTGAAACCTTGAGTCTTTTCATAAAGTGACACTGAAGTTTGTAAATTCTACTTTGAAGAATTTTAGGTAGAAAAGACTATCCCTTAGTCTGTAGAAGAAAGGGGGTAAAAAAACAGAACCACTACAAACTACTTTGGGCATTATGATATCGTTTGCCATTCGGGGCTTAGTTCTTCATCTTCCTGCCTGACTGACAGATATTGTAAAAAAAAAAAACATGTCAGGAAGTTGAAGACCTGCCTCTGCTTCAGCATGGCTGTGGACTACTTTTCAAGCTTAAAGCTACCTCTGGGAAGACTTACCCTTCATTGCTTTTCTGACTTGGAAAACTAGTCCAAAGTTAGGGAAGGGTATGGATACAGTAACACAGCCTTGTTCTCTTAAGGGAAAAAAATTTTGTTGTTGGGAACCTTATAGAAAAAAGAAAAAAACATTTATGGATCAAGCATTTAAAGCATCCATTCTATAGCTTTTTGAAACAAAGCTGTCAGTTATTTGTAGTACCATTTTGGGACTTTAAGAGACAGTAGCAATAGAATCTAAAGTTCTGTTGTGATTTTTATGCTTCAGAATTTCTCAGACTTTATAGGCAGTGGAAAACAGCAAATTCTAATATTTAAAAACAAGCCATTCAATAGTAGCATCATACAGAATATGGTATTTTGTGTATCTTGCTATCGTGGTGTGATTTACTACAGTATTTAAGGGTGTGCTCGGAATTGAACTGTCTCATGATTGGGCCATCTTCATATTATCTTAACTCCACATGAGTTTTCAAAAGACAAAACACCTCCCTAGCAAATGATCATCTAAAGTAACAATATATGTAAAACATTTCTAAAAACCTAGAATTGGCTTTTTAAAATGATACATTTCACCTTTGATGTGACTACAAAATGAAGCATGCCTTTCCACTGAGTATATTAAAATGAAACCCATTCAGTTTCATCAATATAAAAATTGAAAGTGACCTTACAGAAAAAAAAAAAAAACTGGCCAATATTGCACCAGTCGAACATAGAATGTGGCATTCGTATTCCTGCTCAATGTCTAGTTGTGTGATTAGCTTCAACTGACAGGAAAGCAAGGAAGTACTTTGCTTTCTCAAAATTATGGTACCTGGAGATGGCCTAGGATACTTTTGATCATCCTCATTGGAATAAAAAGGATGTGACTTTTTGTGGCTAAAGGGGACTAACTCTGAACCTAGCTGTGAATACCACTTAGGAGTATCAACACAACCAAAGAATATTTCTTTAGCTGCGTGTGAAGAAATTTGAGTTGAAATTGTTTCAACCTAGGAAGATGCTGCCAGAAGCATTTCCATGGGCCAACACGGCCAGGTTAGATTTAAGTGGCCAGACTGGTTGGCACGTTGTGGTGCCAACACTAGAATAAAACTTGTTAGTAGTCCACAGCAGAGTGGCAAAACCAAAGTCTAAAATGGCAGTTTCAAGATTGGGTTTTTGTAGAGTCATGGCTAAGCATGACCATGGACACTATTGCAATATAGGGTGGTTTTGAAACTTAAATCGCAAAAAGGTTGATGCAAGATAATGCTGAAACAGCAATTATATATTCCATTCTAAAGGGAATTTCTCTCCAAGGCCAGAGCATAGAAGGTTACTGGTCATACCATAACCATAGCAGCTGCCATTCTGTAAGAATTTCCCAGAACTTGCCACTGCTAACAACACTCATTAGGTGAGCTAACTTATGGCAGCCACTTAAAACATGACAAGTGGTAAGTTCCCCTTAATGTGAACAGGTTACACAGTATCCTTGAAATGTTTGGTGTACTTGAAGATAGGGTTAGAAATGGAAATACATTATGTTCCAAAACTGCATTTATTGTCATACACATAAAAGCAAATAGTGAAGCATGCTGAAATAAATATGTGGTGGTAAGTCCTAACCTTGACTGCCATGGAAGGAAGAACACTAGAATTTCCCAAATTAAGTCTGTAAATATGCTCACACATAAAACTCACATAGTGTTTGTGCTAACCTGCCAAGAATAAGCCAACAGCTGTTGCTATATAAAACTAAAGTGCACAGCAGCATCACGTTGTATAATGCTTGTTTTGTATCATTTAGCTATGTTTAGCTATGTTCTGAACTCTTTCCCCCTTGATACCATATTAAAAAGAAAAAAAAAACATTAAAAAAGATAAGTAACTTGTTATCTTCAGGTTTTTCAGTTGCCTTATGTAAGGATGAATAGATCCAAGAAGCACGTCTATAATACAAAGTAAACTATGATTTTATTGTGAAATTCTCATAGGTGGAAAATTAAATTGAATATTTATTCTGTCCATTTCATTTTACAGTAATCTTACCACTTATTTTTGTACCATGTATTTCAATTGCCTGTTTAATGAAAAATAAAGTAACCTATAATTTTTGGCTTTTTTTTTGCACTTAAATTTTACATTACAGACCCCACAGTAAAATGTGTTGCCAACACATCTGAGCTCTCATTGAAGAATGTTTGGCCATTACTTATATCTAATGGAACAAACTTTGATCTCTGTCACCTTAAAATGCTTATGTCGGCAAATGATTTTGTTTCTCACGATAAAATAAAAACCCTAGATCGTAGAGGTTCTAACAAAATTTATGCACAGGCAAAAATTTCACAGAAATAAATATATTTCTCATTTATCATTCCCATCTAGAATTCATGTTTTCAGTTAATTAAATTTAGGGATAATTCCTAAAATTAGGGCAATCAAGTTTCTTGCTTTCTACTTTAATGCTTAAACTCTCCTCCAACATGACTTACACAACTGTGAAGGATAAAACAGTCGGCACCTGACTCAGTGTGGAACAAATAACAGCACACATTACCTGATCATTTGCCTGTTAGGGAGGGTGTGCTTCTCTCCACCTCTACCACAGATGAATTAAAGAAATGTTGATCAGGGAAGACATTTCGAATGGTTTTAGAAGGATCAGAGATGATGAGCTAAGATAGAATACGTTCTAAACTTTTTTTCCATACAATTTGAGCTCCTTGGACCACTAAATTTGGTTAAGTCCTACTCAGCACAGAAGCCTACTGATAAATGCAGGTCATTTATCAGAGCTATTTGTCTAGAAAGCAAATACTGGATGCTGTGCTATACAGGTCTACAAATGCCCTGGCTGCACACACAAATGGCTGTTTTGAGTATAATGCAAGGCTCTATTTCCCTTTTACCATAAGAATTAAAACAATACTTATCACCATACAGTTCGATATTACTTCCAATAAGTACAATATTTATTAAACATATCTTCAGTTGTTTTGTTACATAGTGTGCAACAAATTACAATATTCTGCAGCCACAAATTATATGCAGAGTATGAAGAAACTATTAATCAGATAGTGTAATCTTTCCATTTATAACTCTACAAGGAAGAACTAGCAAATCAGATCTTACATATAACATCTCACTAAACTTTATGCATGGAAAGTGACAGACACTGGTTGTGCTGTTTGATACAAAATGGCTGAACTTCATCTTCAGAAGACTAAACCTGACATCTAAACATGCCAATATAAACATCAAAACAAAATATATTCTAACCAACCACGGGAAACAGTCTGGTATCAGGAAAGCAACAAGGATTACACACATTATTTTATAAACCAGCACACACAAGGTTTAAAACAGTTCTGAAAATGAAGTTAGCTGTCTTGAGTCAAGGGAATAAAAAAAGTCAGTGTTGACCATTTACGACCTCTGACCTTTGTGGAGACGGTAAGAATCTGTTGTAGTGCAGCTACATACAGTACAATTCAGGCAATTTTGTTTTTCACTTGGGTTCAGATTGCGAATTCATTGCTGTGAGAAAAGGGCGGAGGCAAATTTTAGCAGCAACCTCCACCTGACTGCTTCACTGGGGTGCTCTGAATTTTAACATTGGACTTCTCTGCACCACCAGCTGTTGCTCCAGGGCCCATTCGCTTTTTAATCTCAGCTGCCATCGTCATAAAAGACTGTTCTACATTCGTTGCGTTCTTAGCACTGGTTTCCAAAAATGGAATTCCAAGGGAATCAGCAAATTCCTAAGGGAATAATAAAGTACAATGAACACTGGAAAATTGTTTTCACTTAATCTATTTCTGCCATCTGAAATGGGAGCGAGGAAGGACTAAATTTACCAGATCCAAACACACTACATGAATTGTTGTCAGAGTATTCTACTGTACATATTTTTAAAAGTTAGGGTGGTTGTAGCCATGAAATTATTCCATACCCACAACCAAAATTCAACACCTTCAAATTCAACTTGAAAATCAAACTTTAAACATACCTTTGCTGTTGTATAGTCTACTACTTTCTTTGTGGTCAGATCACATTTGTTCCCTACCAACAACTTGTTGACATTTTCACTGGCATAACGATCTATTTCCTGCAGCCACTGTTTAACATTATTGAAGGACTCCTAAAAAGACAGATATTTTTAAGAATGATAATACAGTTCTGGACACAACTGCTCTAAGGATTAACTAATAAATAATAAGTACAAGTATCCAAAAAGCTAGTAAGACAAATCTAGCTACAAAATAACTATAGTGCAAGGAAAGGAGTACACTAATACACTATATACCAGTGACTCATGCCTATAATCCTATAATCTCAGGCAGAGATGAGGACAACAGCAGCTGGAAACCAGTTCCTCGAGACCCTATCTTGCAAAATGCTTCACAAAAATAGGGCTGGTGGAGTGGCTCAAGGTAAGCCCCTAAGTTCAAACCCCAGCATCTCAAAAAAAAAAAAAAAAAAAACTCACTATATCATGACAACACATACCTTTTTCCTTTTTTTTTTTAATTCTTTACTCTGAATTAGCATACATTAATAATGAGGGAATTTCATTGTGATAATTTCAAACATGCGTAGTGTTGCACCCTGAACAAGTTTATCCTTCTCCGTTGTATTTCCATTCTCTTCCTATCTTCCCCCAACAATACTTACCTAAATGAATGACAAACTAGAATTGCAAGGTTTGAAGATGAAAATACCTTAATTCTGAGGAAATTAACAGTTTAATACTACTGCTGGCAAGCCCAACTGATTTCAGAATATGCAATTTAAATATACTATAAAACCTAGTTTTTGAAATTTGACAAAATTTTATGAATAACAGTGTAAGTGTTACTATTAGATATGTCAATGCCATTTGGGCTGAGTGTAGCTCAATGGTAAAGTGATTGTCTAGCATGGAGAAGGCCCTGGATTTAATCCTCAGCAACCTCCCCACCCCGCCCCCAAAAAAGGGCTATTAAATATACTTGTTTCCTTTTTCAGTTATATATATTTAGGGAGGAAACTTCTCTCATTTAAAAAAATTTCATGGCAATACGACTAGACATTTTTTTTTTTTTTTGAGATGAGGTCTTGCTGTGTTACCCATGCTGATCTCAGATTGCTGGGTTCAAGAGGTTTGCCTGCTTCAGCCTCCCAAGTAGTTGGGACTACAGGCACACACCACCATGCCCAGCTATCATTTTTCTACCCTGTTTATTGATTGATAATCACCCATCCAGTGCTTCTGATGGTACTGAATATAAGTACACGGAAGTTATCTTGTTTAATAGATGAGATTTAACATCTGCGACTAGTAAAGTAAAATAACCTTGAAATCTTGTTTCTGATCAAACAGTTAAAGTCACTGGACTACATTCCCCTCCAGCCTATATTCTTTACATTCCCCTACCTTCACTCAACAGCTTTACCATCCTTCTATTATCCTGTAGCGCATACTATTCAAATCCTTTACTTCTGAATCATATCCTCCAAAAGGCAGAGTCCCCTAATCCCTAATCTCACTTTTGGCAGTTTTTTTTTTTTGTGGTGATACTGAGGTTTAAACTCAGGGCCTCACACTTGCTAGGCAGGCGCACTTAGTGCTTGAGCCACTCCATGAGCCCTTTTTTGTGATGGGTTTTTTTTTTGAGATTAGGGTCTCATGAACCATTTGCCCGGGGCTGGCTTCAAACTGCGATCCTCCTGATCTCTGCCCTCCTAAATAGCTAGGATTACAGGTGTGAGCCATATGCACCCAGCTTCACTTTTGGCAATTCTAATGGGAAAATTCTAATCACCAGGCAAATTCCTATTGATACTTAAACCGAGAACACAGTATAGGCAACCAAACAACCTACAGTTCCTTATAAGCTCTTGCCTATGTGTTAATCTAGCCTATGGGATGTTATTTAATTGATAATGAAGATAACCAGAAGTCCCTGAAAGTACATGTAAAACAAACTGCTAAATTTTCTATTTACTAAAGAAATAAAATTTTTAGCTGGGCACCAGTGGCTTACGCCTGTAATCCTAGCTACTCTGGAGGCAAAGATCAGGAGGATCATGGTCTGAAGCCAGCCCAGGAAAATAGTTCCCAAGACCCTTTCTCAAAAAAAAAAAAAAATCAAAGAAAAGGGCTGGTGGAGTGGCTCAAGGTATAGGCCCTCAGTTCAAGCCCCAGTACAGAAAAAAATTTTTCACATATTTGTGAGTGGACAAAGTTTTTTTTTTTTGACCATAAAATATTAGTGGTGGCTTATATGAAAGTAAAAGAATGATACTTATCAAATAGTAACTTTCTGTGTTGTCACTATAATACAATCTTCTTTAGTAACTTACCTGATCTGTCACATCATACACAACTATGATGCCGTGGGCTCCTCTGTAATAACTGGAGGTGATTGTTCGAAATCTTTCTTGGCCTGCTGTGTCCCACTATTACAAAAAAAAATGAAGAAAGCCAAACAATTCTATTAAAATAAATTTGGGTGAAAGTGCAGAAGGAGGAAAAATAGTTTTGATAGTTGTAATTATCGGGACTGGATGTGGAAACAGTAACTCTTAATGCTCACATTACTGAATTGCATAAATGGCCAAAGTTTGGAAAAGACAATGCCTACAATTTAGCCAATGGTAGTCATACCAAAATTACAAGCTCTTAGAGAACAGAAACTATGTCATACTTTTCATATTCCCTACAGATGTTAACATCCTGCTAACCATTTACTATGAATGCAGAGGCAGGTTGACTTGGTTAGGGAGTGACCCAAAGCTCATGAATACAGTATACTCCCACACAAGACAAACTTGTTGGTTAGCAAAGTTCATAACCACAGAAAGGAATGGAAGTTGTTCTATTCAAGTAGCTAGCAGTCATGACAACACTTTAACCACTTCAGGCAAGTATTACCTTAATCAAGGAAGATGATTCTAAGATAAAGGAGTCCTTCCTTTGTAAAACTCATTTTAGAACTTACCTTAGGCTCCAACACCAATAAATAAATAAATAAAATGCTTACATCACTATATTAATGAACTGGGTTAAAAAAAAAAAACCAAACAGGGCGCGGTGGGGGTGAGTATACTGCAGGGAGTGTGGCTCAAGTGGTGGAGTGTAGTCCTGGGTTTAATACCCAGCAACACAAAAAAGAAAAAGCTACAATTTGGGAAAACTTTGAAAACTACATTAAGGCATTAGTATTTATCTTTCTACATGTGAGAATAAAATAGTAACAATAAAATATAAATTAAAGCACTGTGGAATATAAAAATTATAATATACTGTAATTTAACATACTCTATTCACAAAAAAAGACCACATAATGAAACAAATAAAAGTAACAATTTATCTAAATACAAAAATACAAGTAACCACAGGCTTCATTTCTGTTTTTGCCCATATTACTAAACCTGAGAATTAAGAAGACTATTTAAATCTGTTTTCAGCAAAAAGCCTCAGTCATTCATTATATCCTTGCAGAAGTATGACCTCTGTAGTGTCCAAACTGCCTTCAAAACATCAAATCCAGATTTGTAGTTCCTGGCTATTTAACACCAGGGAATCACCTACCCACTTTTTTTAGATGCAAATCCTAGGTACTACACACCTTAAATAGCTGCTGAATTAACTAATATTTATTAAATGCCTAGCATAGTGCCTGACTACAGAAACTGTTTAATAAATATTAGTTTCCTTCTCTTTACCATTGTAGAACTCCTTTCACAAAGATAGCACAAGAAACAAAAAAATGTTTGACTAAAAATTAACATGGAATTGTGGCTAACAAAACTAAGCAATAGCATCCAAAGAGTAAAATTTCTGATGTCTCTGCCACTCTGATAACTTTCCTGACTCAATATCCCAACAGGACTAATAGCATACTCCTTTGAAACTGGATCATACTTTGCATATAATTCCCATTACCACTCATAATCACAGGTTAACTGATTTTTCCATGTTTGTCTCTTCCATTGAAATGGGATCTAACAGCTGTCTGGGTGCCTGATATAATGTAGGGATTTTCACAAATTTGTCAGGACTGAAATGAACATCAACCACAGAAAGGCTAACCTCCATACCTGCCCTATCCTGCCGAATGTTTTGTAATCACAAACTCTGATAGAGATCTAATGTCAAGCTAGGTGCTGGTGGCTCATGCCTGTAATCCTAGCTACTCAAGAGGCAGCAATCAGAAGGATCGTGGTTGGAAGCCAGCCTGGGCAAATAGTTCATGAGATCCTATCTCGAAAAACCCTTCACAAAAAGGCTGGTGGAGTGGCTCAAGGTGCAGATCCTGAGTTCAAGCCCGAGCACTAAAATAAAAAAAAATTAGAAAAGCTGAAAGGAAAAGATCATTATAATTATATAAATCAACATAGTCAACACTGTGAAAGACCTAGACTACTAGGGAAGATAAGTGAAGTCAAGATGAAATGTAATAGGGTTAAAGGTAAAGTATTACATTTAAATTCTAAAACATCACTTACAGAAGTATAAGATAACCCCTCTTTTTTTAAATTAATAAGCAAGCCAAAATCATAAGACCCAGAGAACCAGGTAATATCGCTATCAAGACACCAAGTGTCAACTCACACTTTCTTTTTATATCTTTCAATGGATCACAATGAGAAGGAGCATGATCCCTGAAGTTCGAGAGAAATTTTTAAAAAATCAATTCAGAGTCCAAATCAAGAGGATTTATTTTCACGTAATATAGCTCATATTTACCTCATATATTTTATCTTATTTTAGGAATCACATTTTAACAAAAAGTACTTAAAAGAGTGACTCAAGTTGCAAAAAGCTTTAAAAATGTATGTCCAGAAGGAGTAATCAACTGACTTCGGAGGTAGAAGAAAGGGTGTGATAACATCAGTGTAAAGGGCAATAGAAGAGGAGTTAATTTAATTCAAGCAGCTTCAAAAGGCAGAGGAATATGAGACAGAAATTAGAGGAAAACTGGCTTCAGCACAACATAAGGAATTAATAACTAGAGACGATTTATAAGTGGAAGCATCTGCTTTTATAAATCATGAATTTTGCAAAAAATGTTTAAAAAAAGGGCATCAGATTTGGAAAACAAATTCCTACTGAAGGTAGAGGACAGAGTGATCTGTAAGATTCCTTCCAGTGATACGAAAGTAACAAAATATGAATGTTTCACATTATGAAGAACAATGACTGCACATCAGTACTTAAGGTTATAAGCTGAGTGGCTCTTTGTGCAATTTTTAAAATTTTTATTTTACATTTTAATTAGCATACAGTGATAGTGTTGAGGAGGTCTTGTTGTGATAAACCCACAGACACATACATTGTACTTTAAATAAGCTCACTCCCTTCCTTCCTCCTTTCCTTCCCCTTGCAATATTCTTTATGATGCCAAGAATAAAGGTGACACTCTAGAGATAAAATGGAATAAAGTCAATATGGAAGGTAACCTGTCCACTACTTCAAAGTAGTTCAAGTTATTTCTGATAACTATATCCTTTCAAGTCCTAACTTTGGTGTATCAAGTATATTAACTTGTATTAAAATCAACATCTTCTGTCATATATCTTTCTTTCCTCATCAGACTCATAAGAAAGGAAGCAACTAAAAAATATACATTCCTATCTAACATACATTCCCCTGGACATGTCATATCACCAGTAACATCGATATACTACCCAAAAATTCACAAATGACTTTCACATACACAATCATATATATACATGCACTGAGCTACTGTGTTTGGTTCTCACAGCCATCATCACACTCATTTCAGACAGGAAACTGAGCCTCACAGAAAAGGGTGAAGTAGGTAAAACACATGATTCTCTTACAAAGAATCAAAACAATAAATCTAATTTTTTTGACTACAAGTTCAGGACTCCTTTCAGTTCAGTGTAGTATCAGTTTCATGAAAAGAGCAGTTAGTTTTATGTGTTATTTCATACTAACAGCCCACTCTAAAAAACACAAATTTATTTTCTTAAACACTGGCAGTACTCAGGCCCACATTAAAGAGATATAAGGCTGAAAGTGTGACTCACACGGCAGAGCTCCTGTCTAAAGTATTACAATTGCTTATTTTTAATTCGGGGGTGGGAATGTAAGGAGGGCTAAAATGGCACAGGGATACATGTAAAAGACAGAGAGCTACAAATTACTTTGTCTGTCACTAACTTTATCCAAATCATTAAATCTCTCATCCATTTGCTGAGAGTAAAATGAACATGTTAATGAAGCTAAATTCCCTTTCAACAAAAACAAAAATCTGTGTTTCCATACTTAGAACATGCCAACCAAAAAAAAAAAAACCAACAACAAAAAAAAACACTTCAACTAAACCACCACACATGAAAGGCTTCTCTTAAGATTGTTTTTTGGTGGGCTGGCAGAGTGGCTCAAGTGGTAGAGCACCTGCCTTGCAAGCATAACACCTTGAGTTCAAACCCTAGTCCCAGCAAAAAAAAAGATTGCTTTTTGGTGGGACTAAGATTTGAACTCAGACTTCGCACTTGCAAAGCAGGCACTCTACCATTTGAGCCACACATCCAGTCCATTTTGCAGATAGGTTCTCAAGAACTATTTGTCCTAAAACTGCAATCCTCCTAATCTCAGCCTCCCAAACAGCTGGGACTACAGATGTAAACACCAGGGTTGGACTCTTAGGTTTCTTTTAATGTTCCACAGCACTTAGCAAAGTAAAAGACATATAAAAATGCACTTTCTTTGTAAGACAAGGTAAACTTGAACTTAAGACCTCCACTGATAAAAGAGACCAGGACCAAGTTTGACTTAAAACATGAACATCTCTGATTTATGAATAAAAATTTCAATGAGGAGGGCTGGGGTGTAGCTCAGTGATAGAATACATGCCTAGCATTCAAGAGGCCCTAGGTTCAATCCCCAGCACAGAAGAAAAAGTGAAAGTGAAGGAAGGAATTCCAATGACAAAAGCAATCCTGGGAACTATCTTTAGCCTACATAATTATTCTACCACTTTATCACAGATGCATGACTCATAAAGTAATTTATATTCAATTTTGTTAGCATATTAAATAATGCATTCTAAATATACCAAAACAATTTCCAACCAAAAACCACTTACTATTTGAAGCTTGATTGTTTTCCCATCTAACTCTATAGTTCTTATTTTGAAATCCACACCAATTGTGCTGATGTAGCTTTCTGTATATGTATCATCCTGAAAAGGAAAAAAGTTAACAATGAAAACTAGTGATCAGTAGAATAAGTTAAAAAGCTTTTATCTTTAGTCAGTTTATTAAAAAATAGCTTACAAAATGTTGACAAGTCACTCTGTCCTGCTCCAGTGCTTCATGTTCTGATTTCAAAGCACTAATTATTTTGTCCGTGAAATTTTTTCAATAGCTATTCTTTAATTTTTTTATGTACATATATTGGCAAATTCTTTATATGTATCATATAGAAAAAGACTAAAATTTTCAGTGATTTTATTTTTTAATTTATTTTTGAGGCTTGTCTCCAACTCCTGGGCTCAAGTAATCCTCTTGTGGGCTGGAGGTGTAGCTCAAGCAATAGAGTGCCTGCCTAGCAATAGTGAAGCTGTAAGTTCAAACTCCAGTCCCACCAAAAAAAAAAAAAAAAAAAAAAAAAAATCACCCTTTTAGTGTACAAGTCAGTGGGTTTTAGTATATACATAAGGTTGCACAACTGTAACTCCTCTTTAGTTCCAAAATATTCCATCACCAAAGGAATCCTGTACTCATTTCCAGGTACCACCCACTTCCCATTCTCCCTCAGACTACAGTAACCATTAATCTACTTTGTGTCTCTATGGATTTTCCTATTGTGGACATTTCATAAAAATGGAATCATACAATCTGTGGCCTTTTATGTCTAGTTTCTTTCACTTAGCACACTGAACACTCATCCATATTGTAACATGTATGTAATTTTTCTTCAGACAGGGTCTCATTATGTAGCACAAGCTGACCTTGAACCTGCTATGTATCCCAGGTGAGCAGCAAACACAAGCTCCTCCTACTTCAGCTTCCTGAGTACTTGGATTACAGATGTGTACCACCAATCCTGGCTTAGTATTTCATACTTTTATGGATATACTACATTATATCCATTAGTTAAAACATCTGGGTTATGTCCACTTTTTGGCTCTTAGGAATAATTCTATGAACATGTGTACAAGTTTTCATATGAACATGTTTCCTGTCAATTTTTTAACCCAATATTTTAAAATTACACCTGTTTCTCAAGTATCCATGACATTTTACTCAGAATGGAAACAAAACTCTTCCTTTTCTTTAAATGAAACTCTTATCTTGTGAAAAAGCTACAGGAATGGCAACCAACCTATCCATGTGAACCACGAAGCACCACACAGGAAGTACTCTGCCAACAAAGATGGACCTAAATACTCAAGTCAGAATCTACTAAGAATAGTACTGTCACACTGAAATTTTCTGTGATGAAGAAAAGGTTCCATAACCATGCAAGTCAATATGGTAGCCACTCAGCTCATGTAACAAAATTTTTTTTTCAATTTCTATTAATTTAAATTTAAATAGCCACAGAGCCAGGACAATTATAGAGCTTACTTCCAATTACAGAGTTAAGGGACACAAAGAAACAAAATGACGAACCCAGACTGTTGGGACAATTTATAAGACAACAGCTCTAGTATCTCCAGTCAATGACATGAAAAAATATATAAATAAAATAAAAGGGAAAAGTGTAAAATTTAAAAGACTAAACAGGAAAACAACCAAATGGACTATGTGAACCATGTTGAAATCCTGATTCAAACCAAGCAATACAACATGCATTCATTTATTCAATCATTACTACAGTGTTGGGGTTCAAATACACACAGAGCTGTAACCTCAGCCACAATACAGCACTTCTGAGATCAGCACTTCTAAAATACTCAGGGAAACATTTATTTTGTAGGCTGACAATGGTATTGTCATTTTATAGGAAAATGTCCAGCTGGGTGTGGTGGTAACGCATGTACTTCCAGTTACTTGGAAAGCTGAGGTGGGAGAATCACTTGAACTCACAATACAAAACCCCATCTTGGAAAAAAAAAAATTTAAAAAGAGTGCTGGTGGAGTAACAGTGCCTGCCTAGCAAGCATGAGGCCCTGAGTTCAAATCCTCATGCTATCAAAAAAAAAAAAGACATACTGAAGTACATACTGGGAAAATGACACTTTTGGGATCTGTGTTACAACACTCCAGTAAAGAGCAAGGGAAACCAAGTCTTGATAAAGCTAAATCTGATCTGTGCATAAGATTAAAAGAAAGAGTATCTCTAAAGAAAACTAAGATGTGATTGGAGAGTTTAAGTGGCTAGTTGCTATACTGAATCCTCATTCAGGTTTATGGTCTAGATTCTCTGAATCAAAAGATACACACTTTAAGGCAATGAGTGCAATCTGACAAAATACTCCTCTCATCTTTACTAGGTACTCATTTTGCAAAAGTTATTTCTTTTGAGTGGCTAATATGGATCAGGTACTGTAGAAAGTGGATGAAGAACAAAATAAAAGGCCCCTTATTGTGGCAACGCACTTGTGACCGCATCTACAAGGGAGGAGAAATAAGAGGATCAGTCTGACACTGGACATGCAAACGCTTCAGACCTTATCTGAAAAACCACTAAAGCAAAAAGGGCTATGATGTGGCAAAAAGTTAGTGAGAATCCATTTCAACAAAAAAGTTGAGCTCAGGGGCATGCACCTGTCATCTCCAGCTATGCGGGAGGCTTAATTAGGAAAACTGAGGTTCCACCTGGCTCAGGCAAAAACCAAAAAAAAAAAACCACGTAAGACCCTACTGAAAAATAACTACAGCTACAAGAGTTGGAAAGAACAAGGTCCTGAGTACAAACCCCAGTCCTGCTCAAAAAACAGAAAAGTACTGACTTCTTATAAATCCCTAAATGACCCTGATGCCCCTGCCTCTGAACCTTTCCTATACTATCCCATCTGTTTAAAATTCTCAGTTATCTTTGTCTACCACTACTCTCCAGTCTGGGTCACATGGCAATTTTTCATTCATTCTTTAATTTTCTTTTTTTGATGGTACTGGGGTTTGAACTCTAGACCTCTCACTTGTTAGGCAGGTTCTCTACCACGTGAGCCATTCTACCAGCTCATTCTTTAATTTTTGAGCTCAGTCAATAGTGATTATCCAAAAAACTTCAACTCCTCAACCAACAGGTGATTCTGTATTATCTTAGCCTATTATACATTCTTTATTATCACTCACTATTGTCACAAATGTCTCTACTGTGGGATGAGGGTGTACTGGCATCAGTATTTTAAAAATACCCCTTAAGTGGTTGTACTGTGTATATAGAAAATACTAAAAACCTCTGATTTACATTAATGGGCATAACCTCTAGTCATAGGAAGATTCAAGATGCCAGTTTTTCTACATACTTAGAATGGCTGCTTTAAACTTGGAACTTTTTTTTTTTTTTTTAGGAATTATTCTTAATTTTAATTATTACCCAATTTAATAAAAATTAAGTGACAAATTTAACTTAACTCCCTTTATTGGTTACTGTTGTTTTGGTTTTTTTTTTTCCAACTTAAAGTTCTTTCATTACAAACAAAATAGAATTTTTTCCCACATTTATTGACAACATGTTATTTCTTCTCTCCTGAACTTCCTGATCATATTATCTGCCCATATCCTTTTCTAATCTAACATTCTTTTCTAATCAATCTACATATGTGCTTTACAAGCCAGGTGTCAATGGCTCATGCATATAATCCTAGCTACTCAGGAGAAAGAGATCAGGAGAGTATCGGTTCCAAGCCAGCCAGGGCAAATAGTTCTTGAGACCCTGTCCTGAAATATACCTAACACAAAAAAGGGCTGGCAGAGTTGCTCAAGAGGTTAGAGTGCCTGCCTGGCAAGTGTGAAGTGTTGAGTTCAAACCCCGGCAGCAATTTTTTTTTGTTTTTTTGGGGAGAGGCTTTTTTTTGGTCTTTTCATTTTTGGTGCTGGGATCGAACCCAGGGCCTTCGCATGCTAGGCAAGCGCTGTACCACCGAGCTACATCCCAGCCCTTTTTTGTTTTTTTTGGTAGTAGTACTGGGGTTTGAACTCAGGACTTTGCATTTGCAAGGCAAGAGCTCTACCTCTAGAGCCATGCCCCCAGCACTTTTTGGCTTATAGTTATTTTTCAGGTAGAGCTCATATATTTGCCTGGGGCAAGTCTCTCAGACCAAAATCCTCCTATTTATAGCCTCCCTCATAACCCGGGATCACAGGCTCCTGCCACCATGCCCCACTGGTTCCCAAATATTTTAATGCATTTCACAAACTAATTATAATGCAAGAAAATGTGGTATTTGCAGCCAGGTGCTGGTGGCTCACATCTGTAATCCTAGCTACTTTAGTAGGGTGAGAATGGGTGAATTGCTGTGAGAGGCCAGCCTGGACAAATAGTTCTTGAGACTCCATCTCCAAAATAACCAGAGCAAAATGGACTAGAGGTGTGGCTCAAGTGGTAGGGCACCTGACTACAAACCTGATGCTCTGAGTTCAAGACCCAGTCCCACAAAAAACTAGTAAATACCTTCACACACCAAGATTAAAATCTCCCTATGTTTTACTAGTACTTCAATTATTTTATTTTTAATTGCTACATAAAATGAAATTATATAATTTGTAAAATGACTTTCATTAATACTGCCACTCATCAAAGTCATGCAAGTGTTTGGGATACTGCCAAGTTCACAGTAATGAATTATAAGTTCCATAAACTTCCAATTCTCTTGTGAAAACTTGAGTTTTTGTTTGCTCCCGGCTCACACAGAATCTCCTTGTGGCAAGGTCTGGCTATGTAACCCAGGATGAATCTGACTCATGATCCTCCTGCCCCACTCTCCTGAGTGCTGGGATTATAGATGTGAGCCACCATATCTGGCTTAAGGCTTAAATGCTATCTTGGGTTTTGGGGAGATTTTCTTTTTCTTTTTTTTGCTGTGTTGGGTATGAAACCCAGAACCTTTGCATGCTAGGCAAGCGCTCTACCACTGAGCTACATTCCCAGCCCATACACTATTTTTAAAAGAACAATCAAAGATCAAAATTTTATTAAGGTAATAATTTTTACTGTTCTAGGAATATATATATATATATATATATATTTTTTTTTTTTTTTTTTTTTTTTTTGGGGCAGCACTAGGGTTTGAACTAAGGGCCTCACACTTGCTAGACATGTGTTCTAACCACCTGAGCCACTCTGCCAGCCCTGTGAAGGATATTCTTAAATAAAAATGCTTTGTTTGTTGTTGTTGTTTAATGGAGTGCACAGAGGTGAAAATATCATGACTGTGAATACAGTTTGGGTCTCAGCACTGCCTTGATAAACTATCAAAGCATCAGCAATTTTGTCCACCATTGCTTTTGCAATGGTAGAGCAAATAGCAACACAATGGAAAAGGCAAATAGTTAGTTCTACTTAATCTTTACTTGTGGGCTGTGGTACATACAGCTCAGTGACAGAGCACTTGCCTAGCATGCATGAGGCCTACAATTCATCTCTAGCACCACAGGAAAAAAATGTTTACTAATATCCTATTATTAAGATAATACATTTGCCCTAACAAATCCCTTGAGAGGGTCTTGTTAGCCCCCCAGGAGTCTGATCTATACTCAGAACAAATGATCCAGTAGAATGAGAAAAGAAACAAGGTAAATTTGAAGACAAGTAGTAAAGACTGTATGAAGAAGCCTACATTATGCTATGCCAAGTCATGTATATTTCAGCACACAGAACATTATGCCACTATCCAACAAAGTTTGTACCAGGCTCTAACTTTTCTCTTCATTCTAGTAAAATTTAACCTGAAGATTTCTTTTCATGTTACTTTCAACCCAGGCTTACTATTTCCCCTTTCGATAGTAGAATAAACTATTTAACATCTATAAAGAGTATTAAAAGTTGGACTCTGATGGCTCAAGCCTGTAATCCTAGCTAGGATAGGGAGGCTGAGATTGGGAGGAAGGTGGTTCAAGGCCAGCCTAGGCAAATAGTCCACAAGACCCCATCTCCAAAATAACCAAGCAAAATGGACTGGAAGAGTGGCAGGTGCTTTGCAAGTGTGAAGCCCTGAATTCAAACTGCAGTCCCACAAAAAAAAAAAAAAAGGGGGGGGGGAGGGGGGCGGAGTGGGTGGTAAGGGAGGGGGTGGGGGCAGGGGGGAGAAATGAACCAAGCCTTGTATGCACATATGAATAATAAAAGAAAAAGGAAAAAAAAATCCCAGAGTATTAGATTTTATAACCACATTTCGGGGATTTTTTTTCCCAGAGGGTCTCACTGCATAGCATAGACTAGTCTTGAACTTGAGATCCTTCTACCTCACCTCCTGCGTTTGTTTGTTTTGTTTGTGGTTCTGTGCCTTGAACTGCAAGCTTCACAACCGCTACACATTGGCAGGCTACTATTTGAGGGAGTCTCCCACCCTTTTTGTTCTAGTTATTTTTAAGATAGGGTCATGCTTTTTGCCTGGGTTGGCCTGGACTGTGATCCTCCTATTTATGTTTCTCACAGTAGCTAGGATGAGATGTGCAAGCCGCCATACACAGCCTGAATTTCTTTTAAAAGCAAATTTTATTTAAAGTCCCAAGATACCAGTAGGGATGTATAAATTCTGGAATAATTTATTCTGAATAAAATTGTTTAATTTTTGCCTACCTAAAAAAACCACAGTACTAATTATATCATTAAGCATGCCATTAACTTTAAAAGCATTTCAATTTCAACTTACTGCAAACCTAAGAAGGAGGCAAGACTTTCCAACACCAGAGTCACCAATCAGAAGTAACTTGAATAAATAATCACTGCAAAAAAGACAAAGAAAATTGTGTTAATAAAAAGTATACTGCATTATAAGTTCTATAAAAACAAATACACAGCTAAAAGTTATAGCTCACTGTGAAAACTTAACAGCTCCTGAAAAGTCCATGCCATGGCTTACAGAGGTGAAAACTAGAACTTACAGCAGCCTGTTTGATGGATCACTGAACATGACAGAATTACCTCTTCTTCAAATTCCAAGGGGTTTTTATGATCTTTTCCTAGCATCTAGCTAGAATTTTCCCTTCAAAAAAAAAATCACTTAACTTACAAAAGCATGGATTATAAATGTAGTACACTAGAAATACATTAAATCAAAGGCATAACTTAACCAACATTCTAAGCTTGCATTAAAGTATTCTCAGAAACACTGAAAACTAGACCCTGGTTATGTACCTTATGGCCAGGCCTAACTCAAAAAACATCCCAAGGATTCCTTCATGGAATCTGAAGACCTGAAAACAGTAAAGATCATTCTCAGCCCTGACCAGTTCTTTTAAGCACTGTCAAAAGGTTAAAAAAAAAAAAATCAAGAACTTTTACATTGTCTTTTTAGAAGGCATATATGATTTTCAATTTCGTGATTTAGTTTCAAAAAATGCTATTTACTTAAAAATGAACTCAAAACGTGCCACAACTTAAATTTAGATTACAATTTACAATTAGTATTATTTACATGAGCAAAATGTAAAATTTTAAGACTTAAAATAATAGTAATAATTTTTTTAAAAAGTCATTTATCAACTACCACATTAAATTTTATAAGCATAGATAATAACATATGTTCAATTTTAAAACATTATTTATGAGTTTCTAGTATTTTGAGATTCAAAGCCATTATAGAGCTCAGCATGGTGGTACACATCTATTAGAATCCCAGCACTCAGGAGGCTGAGACAGGAGGATCAGAGTTCCAGACCAGTCTAAGTTACATAGTGAGACTCTGAAAAAAAAAAAAAAGCCAACTAGGTGCCAGTGGCTCACACCTGTGACCCTAGCTATTTGGGAGACTGAGATCAGGAAGATCTATGTTTGATCTGAGTAAACAGTTCACAAGACCTCAACTCCAAAATAACCAGAGAAAAATTGACCAAAAGTGTGGCTCAAGCAGTAGAGCGCCTGCTTTGCAACTTCAAAAGCCTGAGTTCAAACACCAGGCCCACCAAAAAAAAAAAAAAAAGAAGCCATTATAGATAATATAAAGAGCTGATTACTTTGAGAATAGAACAAGCTTTGCAAAAGTAGACTATTCTCTCCATCACCTTTATAACATAACATTTAACATGAAGGAGAAGGAGAAAGGCAAACAAAATCAAATTCATAAACTTCACCTCCCTTTACTGAGCACACACACCTGGATAGTGTGATTAATCAACAGCACTTACTTGCATTAAACATTTTTAATTACCTACTCCCACAATAGCTTATTTCTAAACTATTAATACTAGATACTGAATGCTCAAGAAAACTCAGAGATCTGAGTTTGCCTAAAGATTTTCTGTGACTATAATTGCCAAACAGAACATGGATAGAAAACATGGAAATTAAAATTACCAAGCATGAAGGAAGAATTTTGTTACAAAAGTTAAGACTTATTTAGCAAAGCATTTAGGTGCACTACTGTGTTTTTTGAGACAGGATCTCTTATGTAGTGCAGACTGGCCTTGAACTTGTAATTCTCTTACTTCCATCTCTTAAATGCTAGGATTACAGACATACACCACCATACCCAGCAAGTGTAGTTATTCTTTTAACTAGTTAAAAAAAATGTATTTATGCCATATTCCTCAATGGGGGAAAAAAGTAGAAAGGAAATGGCATATTGAAAGAAACAGGAGCCAACCATAAGAGTTCTCTCAGTGGCCAAGCTAGAATAATTTGAGCAACAAAGCAAATAACCATGTCTTATAACTCAAAGAATCAATATCCCTGAGTCCATACCAGTATAAATGATTTAAATAAATAAGTTGAAAAGAGATAAATCTTCTTATAGGAAAGATTGCCACATACAAGAAATATAGAAGAAATGACAGAAATAGAAAATAAGCAGATCACCCCATTAATAACTACTGTGGAGGTGATCTACTGATGAATGCTAAAATTAATAGGTAGGACTTAAAGGAGAAATATTTGCAAAGCCTCAAATTATACTGCCCAAATATTTATTACTTTAGTGGTTTCAACATACTCCCAATAACTTCTTTGTATACACCTTCCTCTAGGAGATGGAGATTAACTCCCTACCCCTCTTTGAGTGTGGGCTGCACAGTATATGGTGAACAGTTTCTAATATAGTGTGGAAAGGGTAAAATGGTGACTTTACAGCACAGAAACCTGACAGATAATACCTTAAGTATGTAGTCAAAGTTATTACTAGTAATGGCCCTATAATAAGGTTATCAGCAGTATGGCCAGTAATAAGTACAGCAATTACATTTCAGTAACAAGAACACCACCAGTATGACTAGCAGTGTATCACATTACTATCATGTACTTTCTGATAGCGAAATAAAGCACTAACTTCTGTGATTTCTGTGGTATTTTCCCCCAAATCTATAACCCTAGGCTAATCATGAGAGAATATCAAACAAGCTGGGAGCCAGTGGCTCACACCTATAATCCTAGCTACTCAGAGATCAGGAAGATTGAAGTGCAAAGCCAGGAACAGGCAAATAGACTTTATCTTGAAAAAACCCAACACAGAAAAGGGCTGGTGGTCTGAGTCAAGTGGTAGAGTACCTGCCTAGCAAACATGAGGCCCTAAATTCAAACTCCAGTGCTGCCAAAAAAAATTTTAAAAATCACAAAAAAGGGCTGGCAGAGTAGTTCAAAGTGTTAATAGTGCCTGCCTAGCAAGAGTGAGGCCCTGAGTTCAAATCCCTGAAAAAAAAGTTTGGAGATCATGAAAAGGGAGAGAATGAGAAACTCAGATTGACGGTAGCTAATAAGATACAACTACATAACAAGATATACCGGATTAGATCCTAGAACAGAAAAAGACAGTGGAGAAGGAAATAAAGTCTACATTTAAGGTAACAGCATACCAATGTTAATTTCTTAATTTGATATATGTGCCATGAATGTAAGATGTAATTCATGGATGTTAGATGAAGAGTATACAGCAACACTACAATGATGTTCCAACTCTTCAGTAAATCTTGATTTGGGTCAAAATAACAAGGTTAAAAAAAAAAAAAAACTCCTAACCATCAGGAAATTAGCAAAATAGGCACAAACAACAATCCCTTCAAAAAGCTAGCTACTGGCTGGATATGGTGGTACACGAGTAATCCCAGCACCAGGAGGCTGAGGCAGGAGGATCAAGAGTTTGAGGCCAATCTGGACTACATAAGGAGACAGGATGGAGCTGGGCACTGGTGACTCAGGTCTGTAATGGTCTATTTGGGAGGCTGAGATCAGGAAGAACTCAGTTTGAGGCCAGCCTAGGCAAATAGTTTACAAGACTCCCTCTCCAAAATAACCAGAGCAAAACTGGAATGGAGGTGTGGTTCAAGTGGCCCACTCTGCAAGAGCAAAGCACTGATTTCAAACTCCAGTGCCACAGGAAAAAAAACCAGGACAGAGCTAGAGACATACCTCAGCAAAGTGTCCACTTAGCACACCTGAGCCTTAGTTTTAACCCTAGCACAGCAAAAAATAAATAGATCACTTAGTGGAAAGCTAAAACAGTTAAAAGAATGGCACAGACTGGGGCTGAAGGCACAGCACAAGTGGTAGAGCACCAGCCTTTTGGAAGTACAAAGCCCCGAGTTCAAATCCCAGTCCCACAAAAAAAAAAAAAAACCAACTTTGCTATCAGTGCCTCTTGTATTGACTCATGGTCTACTTTAGCAATATGGGAGATTCCAACAATAAAACAAAAGTAATGGTGTTTGGTAAGGATGAATTTTATTTACCCAGTTTTCATGAAGTTGAATAATCCACATTCTATTCGAAATCAGTGAGAGGCCATCTAAGAATGCTTGTTTCAACTTTAGCTTAGAGCTCAGTGGCCATCATTTATGATCTGAACATAATCTTGATGTTCACTGATGTACATACATATGTGTACTTATATCACTTTTAAATGCAAGTACTATTTCTATATCTTTAAAAAAGTCAATATTGTGAAATCATGGAATATTAAGCAGAAGATGAATCATCTTAAAATGCTTAAGAGATGGAAACACTAATTACCCTTATTTGATCATTGCACACTGTAAAAAAGTGCCAAGTTATCACACTGTATCACATAAGTACGTACAATCCCAACTCACAACATACTGATGATAAAGAGCTATTTTCTTTAACAAGCTTTCTTCCACACATGTTTCCTGTGTAGTCACAGGAAGATTTTAATTTTTGTATTGAAAAATTTTGGATGGAACAATTTTTTCGAGGAAAGAGATAAAAAGGACCTAGATTATCAAATTAAAATCATGTTCATCAAAATCAACATTTTAAAATATGAATGAGAATTGGGAAAGCAACTGCCTAGCATGCACAAGCCCTAGAATGGATATCCAGCACTAAATACATACATACAGATAGACAAATAGATAGATATAGATATCGAGAGGGAGAGAGATCTGTTGTTTAAAGTCTAGAGAATACATGAGTATAAATGGGTTAATATTAACTGTCCTAAATCAAGAAAGCAGAAAATATCTATAGGCAGAATAGAAAGGACAACAAATAATTCTACTTAAGTACTATTGTTATATAAATGAAATTCACTCAGAAGTTAAATCCATCATTGTTCTTGGCTAACTTCAATTACATACTTCAAATTGTTTTTTGGTGGTTATGGTTTGAACTCAGAGTCTTGCACTTCTTAGGGAGGAGCTCTAACACTTGAGCTATGCCTCCAGCCTTTTTTGCTTTAGCTATTTTCAAGTAGGATCTCTTCCTTTTTGCCCCACAATCCTGAATAGATACTCCAACTTATGCCTCTTATATAGCTGGGATGACAGGCTCATACCAC